AGAGGTCTCCCAGGGAAAGGGAAGGACAGAGACGACGAGTACAAAGAATGACGGAGATGACGACTCGAACGGAAAAGCCCCTCACACACGCCGACAGGGTCGGCGGATTTTGTCCCGATCTTCGCGTCGTTTTAGGGGGGGGCGAGGGCGTCGAGGGTTTCGGACGCTCTCGTGGGCTCGCGGGAGGCCTTCCCGCGTCGGGGCGTGCTCCAGCAGCTGCGCCTCGCCGAGGAGCGCTCGGGGATGGCCAGGCTCGCCCGGAGGGGCCGCCGGAGGCTCGAGTTGATGTCAGGAGGGGGAAAAAACACACACACAGGCACAATGTATCGTCGATCCTTAGGGAAATATATGCGAAAAGGTGGGAAGGGGGGGGGGAAGACCAACTCACACAGAAAGCATGGGAAGAATATGGGGAATCCTGTCATTTGTGTGTATTTACTTGTGTGCCCCGGGGCCTCGTTGTGATGATCCTGAATCCGTTGTTGGCGGCTCGGTCGCAAGTTTTCAAGAATATGTCCTGCGCACCACTCTGCAGGCTCCCTCCCCCCGCCGTAGAGGGTGCCTGGCTACACGTGGCGGACAGAGCGTGGAGCTCAAGAAACAGCGCCTGGGCTGGACGCGCCGACCTGGGGGGGAGGCGCCGACCCCCGAAATCGCCCACTGCTCGTGGACGGGGCCCCGACGGCCCGCCGCGCCCAGGAGCGTGCGGCCTCGCTGCCACGGGGCCTGCCGCCGATCCGTCGGCGACGTGTTCGCCGATGCGGGGCCGGTGCTCCCCTTTCGGGCCGGCCGCAAGAGGGGGATTGGGAAAGGGGGGGTACGAAATTTGCCACATGCAGCTGGCGTCGGCCTCACCGAGGGGCCCCTTCCTCGACGCATGGCCGCCTCCGGCGCCGGGAGGCGCCGGGAAGATCAGCTACGCGAGCTGGTTCTCACCCCCCCCCTTTTGCTATCCCCCCCTCTCGCCCGACCCGACCCTTCTGAGCCAGTTCCCCAGTGCTTTTCCAGGTGGTAGCTCGGGCCTCCCGCGGCCCTTTCGGGACGATCGGGGCACGCATGGGAAGCTCTCGACGAGGCGCAGCTGCCGAAGGGCATCCCCAGGGTTGAAGCCCACGTGAGCAACGCAAAACGCACGGGGTCACCTGTGCCGACATTGGTGCGTGAGCGGCCCCGCGTAAGGTCGCACATGAGCGCCCTCGCTTCCAGCACAGCGTGCCGCGCTCGCGGCCCGCGTGGGCCACTGCGTGTGGTCGTTGTGCCATCTCGCGTACGACCCGTCTGTGATCGTCGGTCACGTGGAGCCGTGATGATGATAAGGAGGATAATGAGGAGGATTGGGAGGAAGAGGAGGAGGAGGAGGAGGAGGAGGAGGAGGAGGAGGAGCAGGAGGAGGAGGAGGAGGAGGAGGAGGAGGAGGAGGAGGAGGGGCGGGGGAGAGGAGGAGGAGGAGAGGAGGAGGAGGAGGAGGAGGAGGAGGAGGAGGAGGAGGAGGAGGGGGATGAGGAAAAAGGAGCAGGAGCAGGAGAGGAGGAGAGGAGGAGGAGGAGGAGGAGAGTAGGAGAGGAGGAGAGGAGGGAGGAGGCGGAGAGGCGGAGGGCGAGGAGGAGGGAGGGGGAGGAGGAGGAGGAGAGGAGGAGGAGGAGGAGGAGAGAGAGGAGGAGGAGGAGGAGGAGGAGGAGGAGAAAAGGGGCAAAAAAAAAAAAAAAAAAAAAAAGGGGGGGAAAAAGGAACGAGAGGAGGACGAGGAGGAGGAGAGGAGGAGAGGAGAGGAGGAGGAGAGGAGGAGGAGGAGGAGGAGAGGAGAAGGAGGAGGAGAGGAGGAGGAGGAGGAGGAGGAGGAGGAGGAGGAGGAGGAGAGGAGGAGAGGAGGAGGAGGAAGGGGAGGAGGAGGAGGAGGAGGAGGAGGAGGAGGGTGAGGAGGAACGTGAGGAACGATGTTTGAAATATACCCTACCTCCAAGCTCCTTCTTCGTAGGCCCCTACAAGGGTTCATGTTCTCTGAGGGACCTGCCCCGTTGGGAGACAACTGCTTGAAGACCCCGAAGCATGCCAGAACACCATCTCGGGACCCAAACGCCACGGATCAACCTGACTGTTGCGTCTTGCTGATCCGGAGTCGTGCCAGAGCACCATTCCTGGGACTTCAACACCGCGAATCAACGTAACTGTTGCGCTCTCACAATCCTGAATGCTTCCAACATACTATTTCTGGTACGTTGACCATGGGAAACCGTTAAATTTTCTTCTGCAAGTTGTAGAAGGATGTGCGCGGCGCTCAGGCGAGAGCCACACATTGAAAGCGAGTCGCCTTTACTCCGTGAGACGCTCGCAGATGTCTGAAACGAATAGGCGCGGCGCCAAGGTGAGAGCCGCAGTTCGAAAACGAACCGCCCTCAATCCGTGAATCTCTTGCAGTTGAAATCGAATGTGCACGGCGCCAAGACGAGAGCCACATTTTGAGAACCGCCCGCCATCAATCCGTGAAGTTCTTGCAGTTTTTGATCGAATGTGCGCGGCGCTAAGGCACGAGCCACATTACCCGCCCTCAATCAGCGAAACGCTTGCAATTTTTTGAAGCGAATGTGCGCGGCGCCAAGGCGAGAGCCACCGTTTGGAACCGCCCTCAATCCGTGAAACTCTTGCACATTTCCAAATCGAATGCGCGCGGGGCTGAGGCGAGAGCCACATCTTGAGAACTGCCCGCCCTCGATCCGTGAGGCTCCTGCACTGTTTCAGACGAATGTGCGCGGCGCTACGGCGAGAGCCAAATTTTGAAAACCACTCGCCCTCCATTTTGCATTTCTTTACGCTTGAGGGTCATACATGGTGAGGAAGTCTCAGGTGAAACGCCCAGCCCGCCTTTTCGACGAGCCTCGGGGTGCGACAGGGAGCAGTTGTTGATAAGGGAAAGGCGCGGAGGAGGAGGAGGAGGAGGGGAAGGAGAAGGAGGAGGAGGAGGAAGAGGAGCAGGAGGAGGAGGATGAGGGGGAGGAGGAGGAGGAGGAGGCGGAGGAGGAGGGGAAGGAGGAGGAGGAGGAGCAGGAGGAGGAGGATGAGGGGAGGAGGGGAGAGGAGGAGGAGGATGAGGGGGAGGGGGGTGAGGAGGAGTATAGGAGGAGGAGGCGGAGGAGGTGAGGAGAGGCAGGAGGAGAGCAGGGATTAGGAGTAGGAGGGGAAGGAGGAGGAGGAGGAGAGGAGGAGGAGGAGAGGAGGAGCGGAGGAGAGGAGGCGGGAGGAGGAGGAGGAGTGGGGGAGGAGGAGGCGGAGAAGAGCGGATGGGGGGTAGAGGAGGGAGGATGATGGAGGATGGTGAGGATGATGAGGATGATTTTTCGTCGTTGCGCGCGAGGCCACGACCGCCAAAAAGTCGGCCCAACGTGTGTGCGTGCGTGAGTGCGTGGCGTGCGCGCAGCGCGCGCTGCGCGCCGCGCGCGCTGTGTGTGTGTGGTGTGGTGTGTGTTGTTGTGTGTGTGTGTGTGTGTGTGTGGTGTGTGTGTGTGTGTCCTGTGGGTGTGTGTGTGTGTTGTTGTGTGTATGTGTGTTTATCTGTGTGTGTGTGTGTGTTGTGTGTGTGAGTGTCGCGCGCGTGTGTGTGTGTGTGTGTGTGTGTTCGAAGGGGCAATCCGTTCGGAGAAGTCTCCTGCCTTCTGAGAAGGCCGCCACCCCCGCCCTACCGTCCAGTTTGATGAGTAGGTCGGCCCTGCCAATTCAAGGGTATCTTGGTGTTCTGATTGTTCGCGCCCCGCGTCTTCTGCATTCCTGGGGCAATGTGGGAGGTTGCCCTTTCGCAATTCCTCTTCAATCAAACTCGACTGTGTCAACATGCCCGCGCCAACCACAGGCCCCCATCGTGCTGTGGTTCAGTCGGGCCACCAGGGAGTGGATCACGCCGGCGCGTGAGCGGAGCCTGAAGGAGCTCGGCGCGGGCATCTCTGACCAGGACGACGGCCGCGATGCAACCCACGTGGTGGTTGGCCGAGAGCTTCGTCGTACGATGCGGGTCATGTGCGCGATCTGCCGCGGGCAGTACGTCGTTGGGGACGACTGGCTGCGCGCGAGCATCCGCGCCAAGAGGTGGGCAGACCCGTTGGAGCACCTGCCGCGGAGCCTGAGCAGGCGCATGGCCGGCTCCCTGGAGGGCGCGCGCGCGGGAGCGCTGGAGCCCGAGGAGGCGGTCAGAGCCGCGGTCTCGGCCGCGATAGGGCGGGCACGAGCTCGGCCCCTCCTGGCAGGCTGCAGCGTCTACGTCTTCCCCTCCGTCCAGGCCCGCGCCGCCGTTCAGCGGTTGGTCGAGGTGGCTGGCGGCGCCAGCCTCCAGGCGCCACCGTCCGCGGAGGCCGCCGGCACCAGCGGCGAGGCGGCCAGGCCGGCGCTCTTCCTGCTGGGCACGGAGGCGGACTCGAGGGCGGCGGCCGCCAGCGGCCTGCCGCTCTTCCAGGCGGGCCTGCTGTTCGAGGCTGCCATGTCTCAGCAGCTGAACCTGCAGAGCCCCGTGCACCGCCTGCAGGACTCAGGTCAGGGGTGGACCCACACGCTGTTTTGGCGATTTCTCGGGCCGTTGTCGTTTCGATGTCGTTTTGCAGCAAAGGCGGATTGATGACAAACCGAGGGTCTCTCAGGAGGGGAAAAACACAGACACAATTAATCGGCGACTCCAGGGAAGATGTGGGGAAATATGCGAAGTGGGGGAAGACGAAAACCCCGTAAATATGGGAAAAAATGGGGATCCTGGGATTTGTGTCTATTTCTTTGTGTGCCCCTGGGTCACTCGAGTCTCGGAGGACGCCAAGCACACTCGGGCTCCGATTCCGACCAGGCAAGTCCCCGGATCGGCTGCAGCCTCTTGTGGCCAAGCCAAGGGGGGAGTGCATATGCACCGATGCAGGGCTCCTGACGGGCTTGGCCGGGAGTGGTGTTGCAGGAGGAGGAGGAGGAAGAGGAGGAGGAGGACGGGGAGGAGGAGGAGGCGGAGGAGGAGGAGGAGTAGGAGGAGTAGAGGAGGAGAAAGGGGGAGGGGGGATGAGGAGGCCGGGGAGGAGGAGGGGGAGGAGGAGAGGAGGAGGAGGAGGAGGAGGAAGAGGAGGAGGAGGAGGAGAAGGAGGTCCTCCCGAGGTGCGAAGTCCAGCGTCATTCAGGGCAAGGTCCCGTTGGAGTGAGGCGGCACAGAGCACGCTGCATGTTAATGGCTGCACTGCAGCCCGAGGGCGGTGCACGGCCGGTGGGCGTGAGGCCTTTGCACCGCCACGTACGGTTGTGGAAGTCGATGGATGGAGAAGAAGCGTGCTGCCAAGTACTTTCCAGATGTCTAACACATGTGTTAGCCATGTTTTGAGCATGTAAGACACATGTTTAAAACATGCTTAGGACATTTTTCCTACATTTTAATCACAGTTAACATTCAATGACAGGACTGTTAGGGTGGCCATTGTCGTGGCATCCACAAACGTAGGGTGTGGTTTGAGTACCTTCTTTTTCTATTTCCGCCCCCCCTCCATCTCCCTCCCTCTCCCTCTCCGCTTCCCCGTCCCACCTTCCCGTTTCGATGGTGATCTCCCAGCCTGAACTTCACATGCCGCATCGAGAAGACCACAACCTGCCAGCAGCAGGTCCCCCGTGAGCCGCCTCTACACCCTCCGCGCGTCATGGGGGCCGACGTCAGCGAAAAGCCTCCGTCGTGATTCTCCCAGGAGGAGGAGGAGGAGGAGGAGGAGGAGGAGGAGGAGGAGGAGGAGAGGAGGAGATGGAGGAGGAGAGATGAGAGGAGGGAGGAGGCGGAGGCGGAGGCGGAGGCGGAGGCGAGGCGAGGCGGAGGCGGAGGCGGAGAGGAGGAGGAGGAGGGAGGAGGGAAGGAGGAGGAGAGGAGGGGAGGAGTGAGGAAGGAGGAGGAGAGGAGGGGAGGAGGAAGGAGGAGAGGAGGAGGAGGAGGAGGAGGAAGGATGATGAGGAGGAGAGGAGGAGGAGGAGGAGGAGGAGGAGGAAGAGAGGGGGGAGCGGAGGAGCGGAGAGGAGGAGGAGGATGAGAGGATGAGAGGAGGAGGAGAGAGGAGGAGGGGAGGAGGGGGAGGAGGGGAGAGGGGGAGGAGTGGAGTAGGATGATGGTACGCGAGCGATGGGGGCGGGTGCCGCGGGCAGGGCAGCGGGCGAGGGAGAAGGGCTTCTTGGGGCCTCCGCCCGGCGCCGTGCGCGCGCCCCGCCCCGCCGGCCATGGCAGAAGCGCCCGACGCCCGCGCCGCGGCCGCGCCCGCGGCCGCCCCGGCGAGCGGGGGCGCTCCCGCCGCGGCGGGCGCGGTGGCCCCGGCGGCGCCGGCGGTGCTGCCCTGCGTGATGCTGCGGTAGCGAGTAAGTGGAAGCCCGTAGGTCGGGGCCTCCCGCTGGCTCCCGCTGGGGTATGGTGGGGGTATCACTCGGTCGGGAGCTCCGAGCGAAGTGACCCCCCCCCTCCCCCCAAACGATCGTGGGGGGGCAGGGGCAGGGCTCGCATGTGGCCCCCCTCCCGCCTCTGAAGCAGTACTGGCACCAGAAGCACGTGCTCTCGGGCGCTCCGCGCGGATTCTTGGCTCCGGCGCTGGGGCCCCTCCCCCCCCCTCGGCGCGCTCCTGCGCATGAGGGGTGGGGTCCAGCCGGGATCGAAGAATCCGCAGCAAGAGGCGCCATTATATATATATATGTTATATATATATTGTGTGTGTGTCTGTATACATATATATACACCATATATATGTATATATATATATATATATATATATATATATATATTATATATAGATATATATATTTGTCTTCTTCATCTTTTTTTTCTGGCCCCTGCCCCAGCCAGGCGGGGGCATCCCACCGCTCTGGGGCCCGCGAGTGGCCCTTCCGGGATCGTTGCAGGATGCGGACCTGTGTCCCCCCCCCCCCACCACACATTCGGGGCCTCCCAGATGGGGCCCGCGAAGTCGTCGCCTGCGCTGACTTTGACTCGTTTGCGCTTGCTGATTCGAAAAGCTGTGCACCGAAGGCCGAGACGCGCTGCTGCCGGCTTCCAGGCCTCCCCCCTCCCCCTCCTCGAGGCCTCCCAGATGGGGCCCGAGCAGATGGGGTCGGATGATCGCGCCGCCTCGCCGATGCATCGGAGATGCGAATCGATGTGGGGCCCGATTTTCTCGTCGCTAGGGAGCCAGATGCGAACCCTACCCGTACCCCCCACGATTTCTGAGGGGGAGGGTGGGGTTCACTTCGCACGGGAGCTCCTGAGCGAAGTGAACCCCACCCTCCCCAGCAGAAATCGTGGGGGGTAGGGGTAGGGTTCGCATCTGGCTCCCTAGTCGCTGGCGTCGCCGGTGCCTCGCCGACGGCGCCGGTGCCTCGGCAGCGTGCCGCCGATGCATCGGTGCTGCGGCGCGGTCCCTGCGACCCCAGCTATATCAGCGAGCGAAGAACGGTATAAAATAAACTGTTTCGCTGTCGGGGGCGCCTGTCCCTGGGCGGCTGGAAAGTTTATACCCCTACGGTGCCACCGTAAGGGTATACACTTTCCAGCCGCCCAGGGGCAGGTGTCCCCGACGGCGAAAAAGTTTATTTTATACCGTTCTTCGCCCGTTAATTATACTCCGACCCCATCCAGGGAGGCCCTCGGAGGGCCCAGGCCCCCTCGGGTGGTGAAGAAGATCCACGGCGGGAGCTGTGGCGCTCGTTTCGGCCTTTGGGGTCAAGTCGGCAGGGGCTTAGTGGGCCCTGGAAACGACAGGGCCGTTTTTTTACCGGTTCCGTTTTGCAGTTTTTTTGCCGCGTCCGACGCCGGCTCCGGCTCCAATCCTGGAGCCGTTTTTTTGCCGTTTCCGGTCGCCGTTTTTTGGCCGTTTTCATTTTCAAGGGATTTTTTTTTTGGAAACGGTGAAAAAACGGCCCTGCCGTTTCCGGGGCCCACAAAGGGCAGGGGGACAATTCAAAAATAGTAAGAAAATGGTCTGGGGACGATTTTTTGCCAATTTTTGTTAATTTTGTTGCACTTTTGAAGTATTTTTTAGTTTTCGTCCAGAATCCCCCTGTAGGGGGACAGGCCCGACCTGACTCTGGGGGCCCTCGCCGGGCCCTGGGACCGTGGAAGAGCGACTCGATGAAAAGCCAGTCCCTGGGAATGGGTCGCGACAGCTGGGGTCCACGTTATGATGAAAGAAAGAAGCACGTCGTCGGGGGTCGGGGGAGCAAGGGGTACTCCCGGTTCCGTAAGCAAAGGGAAGGGGATCACAACCCTCCCAGGCGAGCAGCTCCAGACCCCCCCCCCAGGACCAGCCGTGAAAGGGGCGGCCTTTTGCCCAGACCCCCCTGGATCCCTCCAGGAGAGCCCAAATCAGATCCCCCTCGAAGCAGATTTTCCCCACTTCGTTGCGGACTGCGGACTGGGGAGCATCCACACCGCTACCCTTATGTCGGGCGTGTCACCCTACATGGGGATTTTCGACGAAAAATGAAAAATACACCAACAATACTCCAAAAAGGCCAAGACATATTCCAAACATAGTCCCCAGACTATCTTTGGACCATGCTTGGATCTTGTTGTTTTTGTTTTTTTTGGGGGGGGGGGGTATTTTTTGTATTTTTCGTCGAAAAGCTCCTTGTATGGGGGACACGCCCGACCCAACGCTGCCCTCCCCTCGTTTTCGCCTTCTTGGGTTTCCCCTCGGAGGGCCCCCGCCGCCACGGCGGGGCTCGCCCCGACCCGTCCTGGTCCGAGGCGCATCCCGGGAGAGGTCTGGGGGAGCATCGGTGTCGATACCCTTTCACAGGGCTCGTTTCGATTCCTCCGATTCGATTCGATTCGACTTCGATGGATTCCGATTCCGATTCGATCCGATTTCGGATCCCGATTTGGGGTCTGATTTCTTATTGGACGCATACTAGCCTGTCGATTTCCGCCGATTCGACTTTTCCCGACTCCGCTGCCGATTTCCGCCGATCCGATTCATTTCGATCGCCGATCCGATTTATCGATTCGATTCTGGGCTCTCCTGCTTTCAGGAGGGGGCGACACACACAGACACAATTTCGGGGGCGGAAAAGAGGGGGGTGATGACTAGGGGGGGGTGGATGTCATGGCGGGGGCCATGATATCTCCCCAGATCTCATGGCGCCGCTTCTTGTTTCATGACGTTCCTGGCCCCCCCGCTGGGCCGCGCACATGCCGCCGGTCATGATTTGCACCCCCCCCTCTTGGACACCCCCCTCTTGGCCGCTCCCGACAGTTAACCGTCGATTCCCCAGAAAATAGGGGGAAATGCGGGAAGTGTGGGGGGGGAAGGCAAAGCCCAGAATATAGGGGGAAGTGTGGGGAATCCTTTGAGTCGTGTGTACTTCTTTGTGTGTCCTGGGGCCCCTTCAACCTACAGGGTCGGGCCTATCCCCCTACAGGGTGATTTTCGACGAAAAATAAAACATACCCCCAAAATACCCCCAAAAGGTCTAACAATACCCCTACAGGGGTACTTTCGTCGAAGATCCCCCTGTAGGGGGACAGGCCCGACTCAACGATACCCTGCTGTTTCCCCCAGGCACCCGTCGCGGGCGAGAAGCCCATCCGTACCCGCGGCCTCCCGGGGCGGGCCCCCACGGGCCGCGACCCTGAGGCGGCGGGGCGCTCTCTCTCTCTCGTGGATTGCCCCGCGCTCCGCGCAGCCGCGCGGCCGCGCATGATCCGCGGGATCGCGCCCCCACAGCCCAATATGGGAGGGCGTGGGGACGGACACTTAACGGGCGAAGAACGGTATGAAATAAACTTTTTCGCCGTCGGGGGCAGGCGCCCCCGACGGCGAAAAAGTTTATTTCATACCGTTCTTTGCCCGTTAAGACACGCTCGCCGCTCGTGAGCCAGCCCCGGTGTCGGCCGCTCGCCCCGCCGAGGGGGGCAGGGGGGCCCCCCCTGACGCTCCTGGGCGGCAGCGGCGGCAGCTCCCGGGCCTCTCGCAGTGGGGGCCTGAGCACTCGGAGGCGACGACGGGCGCCAGCAGCCCATGGGGCGGGCTCCGCACGTGCTCGCCCGCGAGCCTCGCCGAGCGCAGGAACCGTCGGCGTCCCCGGATGCAGGTGTCGCTCTCCCCTTGGCCATGTACTCGTCCCCGTCGTCGCCCCCGAATAGGGGGCCACATGCGAACCCTACCCCTACCCCCTACGATTTCTG